GAAAGGACCTAACTATGTGAGCATCGACGTATCGAGCATTAACGTACCGTTCGTTACAGGATGAATCTAATGGCGGTTGTGTAAAGTGATCATTACACACAGACGTGTTATAGTGACCCTCACCTGTGATCCATATTTGTAGTTAGTGAGTGAGTAAGATGTAACACCTCTTTGAATAGTATCTCCGTTATATCATGAAGATCCAGCTTGTTGATGAGGAAAATACACACTTCTGTGAATAAGAATGTTTAATCTTCTTGTGTTCCATCTAATATTGCAAAACATGATCTAACCAGACCATTCAATCACTATTAACATGTCAGTCGATTCATTAAGTATCGAGATCTAGTGTTATCAATTAACAAAATATAACTTAAATAAAAAAAAGTATGAAAATCATAGAGAATTCTAGTTATGTCTGATAATGAAGACTAGAAGAGTCAATTATCTACACATAAATTTAAATTATCTCATAAAACCAAATTTGATTTTAATAATGTTTTCTTTTTTCATGTTTAAGGCACATCACCATAATGAAAGAAGAATCAATAACGCATATTCAAAAAATAAAGGACGCATTATATCAGCTGGCCGACGCTCTGGATAAAGACGATGTACACTATGCCAAAATTTCAGGAAGAACCTTCGTTGTCAACTTAGCTGGAGGAACCATTGTAACTCTGGGTGTTGGTGGTGCTTTTCGTCTCTCGCTTCTTGGATTTTCTCTTGCCGCAATGGTTCCCCCGATAGCTTTTGCTGGAATGGTTTTTGTGGCTGGCTTTGGCGCCGTTGTTGCGTATTCAAGATCTGCAGAAAAGGCATCTAAAATCTCTCACGTGATTGAAGCACAATCCATTCTTGACGAGTATTCAAAGTACTTAAGCAAACAAAAACCACTTGAAAGCTCTGACATCACTGCCGTTGGAATGTTAGGACCAATGGTAGATGCGTCATCTCTTGTACTGATCCCCAAAGACGGGAACGAGATGAGAGGGAGTGGTGCTATGGCCTTCTTATTGAGAAGTGAAACGTATACAAGTGTCACAATCACATTCAACATAGGAGAGTATGTCAAGGACAGCCAAACTCGATGCAACTCAAGTTCGGAGCTCACAAATGCAATTCGTAAGAAGGCCAATGAGCTTAAACAGATTATGGGAGTTTGGGTGATCTCCACTCTGGTTGACGAAAAATAAAAGGGATGTATTGATTTTCCAGCCGTTGGACATCATTCTGTGAAATAGTTGAATAGATTGTCAAAGATTGAAAATTTCCAGACATCTTATCTCAGAGCGAAATTTTCATGTATATCGCGAATGGGGCTTTTCTTTAAACAAGAGGCTTATAGTTTAAAATAAAAACAATAATCCGTTTTTGAAGCTTAAAACAAACCTTACCTTCATTCAAAATCCCCCGAATAGCACATGGCGGGTCCCTTATCAGATTTTTAAAAAACACAATCTCATTGCTTGTCAATACACTTCTCATATCAATAGCTTTTCAATTCCAGTCAGAAAGAAGTTTTCTGAAGCCACCCACTTTGTTATGGTCCATAGTCGAAAGTTAGTCAGGTTCAGAACCTTTCACCGCCCACGTATACTGCATGTAGTTCTAACCAATAATATCATACTACCGTGTAGTTCTAACCAATAATATCATGTTTGTGCAATTGGTTAGTATTTTTGTAAGTTTTAATGAATTTAGATTTGATGGAAATGTGTTTTGTATTTTGTAAACGTCGTTATAGATTTCAGAGAACTATACTTTTCAACAATTATAAAGAGTGTTTTCACTTCTGTTTGCAATATTATACACATGAAGACCTGAACGCAGCAATATTCAACATATGGAGACCTAGATTCAGCAATATTGCACACATGGAGACCTAGACTCAGCAATATCGCACATATGGAGACATAGACTCAGCAATATTGCACACATGGAGACATAGACTCATCAATATTGCACGCATGGACACCTAGAATCAGTAATATTTCACACATGGAGACCTAGACTCAGCAATATTGCACACATTTCTTCATCATGTTCTTCCTCTGGCCTCTCATGTTGGAAACGAAGCTGACGACGTCGACAGTGCCTTCTGCCGCTGCCTGATCCACGAGACTCTCTATAGCGATGTACGTACCTGTCCGTCCTATACCAGCGCTGCGGGGACGAAGAAGAACAATCAGAACATCGTACAGATGATTCTTCCTTCATACATACTGTACTGTGAACTCCTCATATTCATCTCAAACATACTGGATCATGAATTGTAAAGAGTGTGTGAGTGACTGAGTGAGTGAGTGAGGTTTTACGCCGCTTTTAGCAATATTCCAGCAATGTCACGGCGGGGGACACCAGAAATGGGCTTCACACATTGTACCCATGTCGGGAATCGAACCCGGGTCTTCGGCGTGACGAGCTAACGCTTTAACCACTAGGCTACCCGACCGCCCCCGAAAGAGAAAGACGTAGTCATTTAATGTTATCGATACGTATTCAGCACGTAGAACACAAAACAAAATATATTATGAACAATGTCTAACACGCCGATAACTTCCTGCTTGTGAATAATCATATAGTATTTATTTGTACTAGATATGATTCCGCTAAATTTAATTTGGAACCGAACGTGCAGTAAACAGATTGATTCTACCGTGATTAAATTACATGACAACTTATTTTTACCCAAAATAATAAGTGGAGTGGCATAGGTGGAGTGGGTTGTCATCTTGTATTGAGGTATCACTGATAGTAGTGAGTGAGTAAGTATGGTTTTACGCCACTTTTGGCAATACACCAGCAATATCAGGGTGTGGACACAAGAAATGGGCTTCACACATTGTACCCATGGCCGGGTCTTCGGCGTGACGAGCGAACGCTTTAACCACTAGGCTAACCCAAAGGATAGTACAATGTTTTGAGCATGTTGCTGTGAATGCTCAGACTTTGTTGTTCACATCAATGTATTGAAAAGTGTGCAGCACAGATACATAGCAAACAAACATACACAAGTACACAATACTAAATGAACTGAAAGGAACGTTGCAAGGTTTCGTTCCAGCTCATGCACAGTTGTGTCTAGTAGTTCAGCTGTGACCGGTTAAAATGTAGATGGATGGGACAGCACTACCTGTTGTTAGTGCTCTGTTGTCCCTTGACATGTTAACACGCACCCTTTACTTATTGATAGCATGCTTTTTGCCCAAAATGTACCAACCCATAATTTAGAAAGAAGTATTTCCCTAAGAAAATCACCCTCAAATCTGTTGTTTCAACCAGAGTATGTTATTGTGATTTGAAATCCACCGATTGACCCATCAGAATCAATTCATAGTAGATATTATTAATTAAACTAATATGGTCAGATTTTCAGGACTAATATCGCACCTGCAGTGAACCATGATAGGCTGTGTTTGATGTCGGTAAGCTTTTTATTACAATGTGTGTACAGAAAATCTATTGGAAAATAGGATAAACGTTATACCTTTTCGTTCCGAACAACGAGGGATGTCATAGTGTAGTTTGCTAGTCGTGTTTCTGTCTCCATTGTAACTGTGATGTCACCATAAGTCTGTGTTCCTTTCTCTGGCCAGTACTGAAGGCACTTCATCTGTAAATATCAAGGCTATTCATAAGGTGTATATATAAACAAGAACCATGTCAGAGAGACCTGACTGTTGTGATTGAAAGATAATCACTGGTATGCTCTGATACACCTTTTGATAAAGTTTAGCTTGTGGGTTTGTCTCAGAGTTTGAACTGTTCACTGTTTCCTTCTTTTGCACACTTAATGAGACCCTCTTTCTTCCGTGATGATCAAGTAAAACCCAGTAAAACCATGACAACTGTTTTGCATTCTCCCAGTTAGATCATCCTCCAGAAATCCACAACTGCGTCAGGTCTGTACGGATCTTTTAAATGTGAACGTTCTCTCATGAATATATGATTAATAGAATGATGCACATCAGGTTGGTAATGTAAGTCGCACAAAAGTCATTATATATCAAAGCTCTTGTCAACATAAAATTTGTCCATTTCACGAAATGACAGGAAACCAAGTTGAGAATGTTTGCAGTTGTGTCTGCTCATCCATTTGGTTACCATGTCCACAACGTGTGTCACCTTAGTAACAAAACTGAAAGTGCCTTCAGTTGTTTACTCAGGGGAATAATCCCTGACAAGCATTTACTGTGTGAAATAGGGCCGAGGGCAGCTAGGAATCTTTTACTCGAACAGGATGTTAGTTATAAAACGCTAATTACCTATTTTTAATGGTTGTTTTCATCATTCACAATGTCAAGATCAAAGGCCGTTTCACATATTTAACAATGTATACGCTGGTGATATTCTGTGGGACTAACAGAAATATAGGAAACGTTACACGTATAACGGCTAAGAATCACAAGATAGGTAAACCCGGCAAACATATCAGCCAATGAAAACAGTTGTCACAACTGCGCAGGTAGATTTAGGCGCAATAGGTTTCCTTTGGAAGCCTATTGCGGAACGTGTGATTTCAGCACTTTCACTTGGACATTTAAATACTTTCTAAAATATTATGAATTTTTCTCTCACGGAAATTGACTATATGTATCAAGGAAAATTGATGTTTGCATCAAAATCGGAAACAATTTTTTTCAATTTACTTGGCCTTTAAGATTAAGGTTTGGTGTCAACCCAGTTTGTGTCAATGATTACACCTTTACTTCAAAGTTAAATGGAAATACATTACAACAAAACCTGTCAGCAGTCACAATCGACCATGAGCTGCAGTGCTCAGTTTTGGTTCTGTGTTTGATTGACTGCTGTTGTACAACTCACATCGATGTAGCTGGCGTTGATGTAGTCTCCGTCTCTGTCGTCACTGATGTCACGCAGCACCACACGGTTGTTGTTATCTGGACAAGTTGCAATAATGAATACATGGATGTTCTTAATGACTGGAATTAACTTAGGATTAAGGGGGACTTCACAGGTGGCTTTTGCATCGTCACGCTCATCAACAAGATGTACTCACATGGGTAATACCCTCTGAACCTGTTCTTCCCTTTGTTCCTTGGATGTTGCGATTCATCATTGGAGTGGATAAAGCCATCAGGAAGATGCTATAAATACACATGAGAAAGTAAATTCACACCACAACAAAATCATGGGTGATTCGTATCAGATGAAGGTGATGCATACAAGTCACTGACATAACAGATCACTTTCCAAACACACTTTATAACTTTCATTGAATTCTTCTTCTGCCCTTGTGGGTGTCATTTCTTGCTTCGTGCCTGAAGCTGTAACACAGGAATCACTTGACCTCGTCCAGCATCGCCCATATTGTAGTAATCTGTGTCAGAGTACATCTGGTTTGTCTTGTACCGCTACAGCCTGGGCAGAGACGTCATGGTCCTCATCCTCGGTCCCTGTAGGAACTGCTCTCGTGAGGTATTTGCCTGAATCCTCAATACCAATAGCGTTTACAGCATTACCAGGTATATTTCCTTGTGTCTGTGGCTGATTAGAGATGGTGTTACTTTGAGCGGTATCCTTTTAATATAGCACTGGTTTCTCAAACCTGACGTTGACGTTGATGTTTACTTCCACTGTAAACAATTACTTGAAAAATAGATGTGAACCCCTTGTGGCTGATGTCATAAGGTATGGGAGAAGGTATACTGAAGGGAGAAGTGTTTAGAATAGTAAAAGTTACAAATATTGAGGGTTGAACTTCACTTAATGTCCATGTCCATGTCCATGTCCATGTCCATGTCCATTTCCATGTCTATGTCCTTGTCTATGTTCATATGTCCATGTCCATGTCTATGTTCATGTCTATGTCCTTGTCTATGTCTACAACTATGTCTATGTCTATGTCTATGTTCATATGTCCATGTCGATGTCCATGTCAATGTCTATGTTCATATGCCCATGTCTATGTCCTTGTCTATGTCTACAACCATGTCTATGTCTATGTCTATGTTCATATGTCCATGTCGATGTCCATGTCTATGTTCATATGTCCATGTCTATGTCCTTGTCTATATCTACAACCATGTCTATGTCTATGTTCATATGTCCATGTCGATGTCCATGTCCATGTCTATGTTCATATGTCCATGTTTATGTCCTTGTCTATTTCTACAACCTTGTCTATGTCCATGTCTATGTTCATGTCTATGTCCTTGTCTATTTTCATATGTCCATGTCCAAGTTCATGTCTATGTTCATATGTCCATGTCTATGTTCATGTCTATGTTCTTGTCTATGTCTACATCCATGTCTATGTCTATGTCTATGTTCATATCTATGTTCATGTCTATGTCTATGTCTATGTCTATGTCCATGTCCATGTCCATGTCCATGTCAATATCCATGTCCATGTCCATGTCCATGTCCATGTCCACGTCCATGTCTATGTCTATGTCTATGTTCTTGTCTATGTCTATGTCCATGTCTATGTCTATGTCCATGTCTATGTCTATGTCCATGTCTATGTCTATGTCCATTTCTTTGTCCATGTCTATGTCTATGACTATGTCCATGTCCATGTCCATTTCTATGTCCATGTCTATGATCATGTCTATGTTCATGTGTATGTCCTTGTTTATGTTCATATGTCCTTGTCTATGTTCATGTTCATGTCTATGTTCATATGTCCATGTCTATGTTCATGTTTATGTCCTTGTCTATGTCTACATCAATGTCTATGTCCA